ACTGGAATGAAAACATAGACACTTTGTATTCCAGGACCCAGCCCAATTGCTGGAGTTAACAGCTGATAAATGAATGAATATGTAGAAATCTGAGAAAAAACTCACTCAAGCAAATAGAGAAACTGTTGGCGACCAGGTCTCATGAGTTCTGCTTTGAATGACAGCTAGAAAACAAACACCTCGTGTAGTGTAGAAATAATCATCTTTGTGAGAATAAACACGACACAGATTTTCTAACAACAGAGCCCAGTGACCAGATCTGTGGAGAGGCATCCTCCAAAGGGATGCCTTGCAGGTGATGCACACCAGGGAAGGGAGAAAGCAGCCTCTACCCTGGATCCAGCGCCTCATTCTGCTTACTGAAGTTCCTCGGGCTTTACCAGCCACACTCTGGATCTGGACTGAGAGCCTATAGTATTCTCCGCAATTCCTTTTGGCCATTTGTGTGTTTGAATTTGGAGCATGTTTTTCTTGGACTCAGTTGCTCTCCTTAGTCTTGACTCATTAGCAAACGAAACCAGCTTCACTTGACCTTTCCGAGCCTCAGATTCACTATTTCTTTCTTTCCAAACAGGGCTAGAATAATACACTGCACACAGGGTTGTTCAGAAGGAGGCTTATGTGGGAAAACAGTTCGCATCCATTCATTCTCAAAGCATTCTAGAACGTCTGTCTGCAGATATGGTCAAGTATGAGCTCTATCTGTCCACAGATGCAGTCATGTTCGAGCTATGCCTGTCCTCAGATATGGTCACGTATGAGCTACAGTTCTTGCCCTCTAGGACCTCGCTGCTGAGTTATTGATCCAGAGAAGAAGAAAGGAAATGACAATGTAGCATGTTAAGAATGACGTTCAGAGGCATACACAGATGGCTTCGGGATCACACAGGAAAAAGTGTTATCAAAGTTGACCCAGTGACGAGCAGGGTTCACCAAGAACAGCCATAGGTTGGCTGCCCCACGTGCCCCCGAGGAGCCTGTCACAGCTCACTGTGCAGCCAGGAGCAGGCTGTGGTTCTAAGATGATGAAGCCAAGAGAGGGCAGGGCGAACCAGCGAGCCAAACCTTAGAATTAGGACCCAGTACGAAGTGCACATCTTACTTCCGTTCTGCGAATCTGGATGCTCCTTATAATGCGTTCTAAGAGACTGATGTGCTGCATGAGCCGGACGCAGTTCTCTTGCAACTGCTGGTTTCCTTTATCCAGTAAAAACACCCTAAACATGGCATAAATCAGAGACACAGCTGGAAATGTCTTCCTCTCTCCCTCCCTCCCTCCCTCCCTCTCTCCCTTCTCATCTGTGCAGGGAACAAACACAGGGCCTCACACATGCTAAGCATGTGCTTTACCACTGTTATACAAACTTTGGCCTCCTCCGTGACACCCTCTTTAATGCCACAGTGGCTGCCGCTTGCATCAACTATTGGAAGCAGAAGACAGCAGAACAGACAGACTCACAGGACAGGACAGACGCCCCCCCCCCCCCCCCCCCCAGTTCTCAGAGCACCACTGCACCTACTTGCTCTGGATTGCAGAGATTGTGGATTTATTGCTGCAGATCAGTTCTTCTTGATTTGTGACTTGTTCTAGAAGCTTCCTCTTTTCCAGGAGGAGGATGTCATTTTGGGTCATGATCTGGTCCTGGAATGCCTTCTCCTAGGGATTAGCATAGAGGGAGAACAACATATCCACGAAAGAGCTTCCGTCTGTTCCCAGGTCTTGCTTTCCCTCTTTCTGCCCCCGAATTTGTTGGTATCTGTTTGCTGGCATCAACCTTAGTCATAGTAGATGCCCTCCTGTTGGTGGTGTTTATTTAGGGAATGCATGCATTCACAATTAGAAATACTGCAGTGGCGGGTTGGGCCCAGCAGTGGTGACACTTGCCTTTAATCCCAGTACTCGGGAGACAGAGGCAGGTGGATCTCTGTGAGTTCCAGACCAGGACAGCCTGGTCTACAGAGCAAGTTCCAGGACATCCAGGGCTACACAGAGAAACCCTGTCTCAAAAAAAAAAAAAAATACAGTGCCACTGAATTTCTAGGAAGAAACAGTGTCTTCCTTGTATTTTAATTCCAACAGATATTAAACCATCAGCAAGTGCAACTGAATCCTATGTTCTGGGTTGAAATCTTACCCCTGGATACATTTCCGTCTGCTTTGCAGATATTTTGTTGTTGTTGCTTTGAACAGAGATTTGACTTGTCATATATTCCAGGGTGATATTCTTGCCTCAGCCTCTTGAGTGCTGGGATTACAGGCATGTGTCACCATGTTCGACTTGCTGTGTTCTCTTTTAGTTTGTTAATTTATTTTAAACAATTATTTATTTGTGTATGGGTGTGCACCACAACATGTGTGTGGAGGACAAAGTGTAGGCAGCAGGAATCAGTTCTCTCCTTCCACCTTATGGGTCCTGGGGATCGAACTCAGGTCGCCAGGCTTGGCAGCCAGTGCCCTTACCCACTGAGCCGTCTGGCTGGCCCATAGCTACAGTCATTTTTAGGCAGACAGAGAAAGTTAAGAACTTAGTCTCCTTACTATGCCTTAGACAAATCAAATTATCACATACCTAGTGGCTTTACATGACAGAAATTTATTTTGCCACAGTTCTAGGGCGCTAGAAGTCTGGAATCAAGATGCTGCCAGGGTTAGTTCTGGGGACCCAGAAAACCTCCCTGTCAGTATTGGAGATTGAACCCAGGGCCTTGTGCCTGTTAGGGAAATGCTCTAGTGCTGGGCCGCACCCCGAGTCCTCACAGAGAGCCTGTTCCTTCCTAGCCTCCTCCTGTGGGATGGTTGCTGGGGATCCTCCATCTTCTCTGGCTTTGTAGACATATCCTTCCCCTCTCCACCTCTGTCCCCATGGGATGCTCCTTCCCATGGGGTGTGTCCTTGTCTCTGCATCTGCTACTCCTCTTACAAAGACACAGGCAATCGGACTTCCAATTCACTCGCACCTAGGATGACCTCATTTTAATTCACTACATCCGCAAAGGCGGGACTTCCAAATCGGCAGGTTGCATCTGGTACTCTGTGTAAGAGACATGCATTTGGGAGACACTGTCTAACACACAAAAGACTATTTTTATTTTATGCATATGTGTGCTTTGCGTGCATATACATGTGTGTGAACCACATGTGTGACTGGTACTCAATGAAGCCAGAAGAGGGCGTCAGATCCCCTAGAACTGGAGTTAGGAATGGTTGTGAACCACCGTGAGTGTTCTGGGAACCAAAACTGGGTCCTCTGTAAAAGCAGCAAGTGCTCTTAACTCCCAAGCCGTCACCCTAAGACTGATATTTTCATTCGAAGGTAAGACAATTACAGAGGAATACCTTAAACACCCTATGTGGGTTAGCAGCCCTAAAGGTCTTTTAGGTCCTTAAGGGATTCCTCACATTCAGCCTGGTGAAGCTAGCTGGGTTGGTAAAGTGCCCTGTAAGCATGAGGCCCTGAGTTTGACCCCCAGAACCCACCTAAAAATGTTGGGCATGGCTGTGAGGGCTTGTAATCCCAGCACTGAGTGGTGAGGAGATGGGGTGAGGAGATGGCTGGCCAACCAGTTTAGTCTCATTGCTGAGTGCCAGGCCCATGAGAGAAAGGAGGCACACCACGCATGCTCTGGGAGGTGGCCCCTGAAGTTGTCTCCTGACATCCATATGCATCTGCATATAAGCAAACATGCGCACACACACACATGAATGTGCACACACACACACACACACACACACACACACACACACACACGCATTAAAATAAAAAGAATCCCTCACACTGAAAGATGGAAGGTGGGAGCAAAAATGAAAGCTGGGCCTGTGGGTAACGGGAAGCTGGGAAGGCGTTCTTAAACTGCTGACCACCAGTGGGGTCAGCGGGCGTTCTTTTTCTTTCTTTTTTTTTTTTCTTTTGGTTTTTCGAGATAGTTTCTCTGTGTAGCTTTGGAGCCTGTCCTGCTACTCACTCTGTAGCCCAGGCTGGCCTCCAACTCACAGAGATCTGTCTGCCTCTGCCTCCCGAGTGCTGGGATTAAAGGCGTGCACCACCCACCACCGCCCGGCATCAGCGGGCGTTCTTAAACTGCTGACCACCAGTGGGGTCAGTGCGCTCTGGTTTTTTTTTTTTTTCTCACCATTTCAATTTTTTGTCGCAGTTTCCCAACTTCATCCTCGAGCTCTTTAATCCTCTTATTTCTTATTTCTAGCTCATGAGTTAGACGGTCCTTGACCTTTTGCAGCTTGACCTTGTGGCAGTGGTGTTTGTCTTTGTAGTTTCTATAAAAGCAAAATTCAGGATAAGCATGCCAGAATACAAGTAGGACCTACTTGGCCTCCTTTGGGATATGACCTATGGACCTTTAATGCGGATACTTTCTTGCCTCACATCTTCGCCCCATGTGCTGATGAATCTAAAATAACCCCCTCTCTTCAGTCAGTCCCATGAGCCTTTGGGTTACCTTGGTTTGAACGGATGACAGCTTTAGTGTCTGAGTTTAATTCAGGAACCTTCTGGACTTCAGATCCCTGACATAGGAATTCTGAATCCTGCCGCACTGATGAGAATTATTACTTACAGCTTTCAAATTCCTGGCTATACTGTTTTATTTGTTTTGTTTTGAGACAGGGTCTCACTATATATCCCTGGCTGATCTGGAACTCTTGATATAGACCAGGCTGGCCTTCAACTCACAGAGATTCGCCTGGCTCTGCCTTCTCCCAAGTGATGAACCTAAAGGCATGCGTCACCACATCTGGCCTATACTCTTTAAATTTTTAAAATTTATTTTTATTATTATTTTTCTACAACATGTATGTGGGGGTCAGAAGACAGCTTTATGAGTTGGTTCTCTCCTTCTACCATGTGGGTTCCAGGGACTGAACTCAGGTCACGAGGCTTTGTGGTAAGTGCCTTTATCAGCTAAGCCTTATGGCTGGCCCCTAGTTTTCTTTCTTTTCTAATTATTTTTAAAGATTATTTTATTATGCATACAGTGTTTTGTTTGCATGTATACCTGCTGCCAGAAGAGGGCACCAGATCTCATTATAGATGGTCATGAGCCACCATGTCGTTGCTGGGAATTGAACTCAGGACCTCTAGAAGAGCAGCCAGTACTTTTAACCTCTGAGCCATCTCTCCACGTCCCCCCACCCCAGTTTTCTTTTTATCATTACAGAATCCATGGGTTTTGTCTGAGCAAGGGTTGTCTTCGAAAATTACTAAATTGGTTTTCCTTATACCTGGATTTGTCTAGCTTTCTTTGTGGCTACGCCAATCCACGTCCATTTTAGCTAACAGAATGTAAAGAGGAAAACAGTGTGCCTTAAAGGGGACCATCATGCACTTGCCTTCTCTTCCGGCTTACTGACTGAAATGTGGCTATTGTAGTGAACTGTCTTCAACGATGTGTCTGGGTTCCACAAGGCTAGCCTGGTCTAATTCCAGGACAGCCAAGGCTCACAGAGAAACCCTGTCTTGAAAAACTAGAAACCAACTAACCAACCAACCAAACATACAAGATGCTGGAGCAACAGCAAAATAATAGAAGCCTAGGCTTCTGATGCAGTGAACTTCCATGCCGAGCTTGGACTGCTTATGTCTGCACTGTCAGATAAGAGAGAAACACCCCCACACACACTGCATGCCCCTTTTTGGTTCTTTGAGGCAGTCCCACTATGTAGTGTAGACTGGCCTGGAACTCACTTTGTAGCCCAGACTGGTCTCAAATTTATGATCCCAGTGCTGGTGTTATAGGCATGTGCCACCATGTCCAGTTTTATATCTTCTGCTCTGTGTGTGTGTGTGTGTGTGTGTGTGTTCATGTGTACATGTAGGTATGCATAAACATATGGTTAAGTACAGAGTCCAAAGGTCAATGTCTGGGTGTTAGACAAGGTCTCTCACTGAATCTGGAGTTCACCCATTTGACCAGGCTGACAGGCCAGTGAGCTCCAGGGATCTGCTTGTCTTCCCCTCTCCCTCAGCACCAGAGTTACAGGCTTGTTCCATGGTTTCTGGGGGACCTAAACTCAGGTCCTCATGTAATGTTACTGACTGAGCTGGCCCCTGGTCTCTGAAGCCAATTATATTCGGTTTCTTTTTTCTATATTCAGTTTCTTATACAGTACCTTAACAGCATTCACTATAGATAGCTACATTCATAAACTTGCCACGGACCCTATTTCAATTCATGGCCCTTGCACAGCACCTACTACATAGTGTGACACACACACACACACACACACACACACACACACACACACACACTACTGTAATAGTTTTCCATTCCTAAGACGCTGACTCCCTCCCATAAACAATCCCATTTCCTTTTGCACTGGGAATGTGTAGTGGAAACTGTTCCTGGGTATCAACACCCCAAGGCACATCAGAGATGGAGTGTCTCACAGTGCATGCAACCCTCCTCCCCTCCTCCAAGTCTCCCGGGTGTTCACAGTGCTCTAATGGATTTTTTGGTTTTGAGACAGTGTCTCACAATGTGGCCCAGGCTGGCTTTGAACTCCTGATCCTTCTGCCTCCACTTTCTGAGTGCTGAGATTATAGGTATGTGCTACCACACCCAGTAAAATCATGACCGCTTGAACTTGGTTATATTATCTGAAGCCAACCTTGGCCTCCTGATCCTCCTGCCTCTACCAATCAACAGCTAGTGTTACAGGCCTGGGACATGATGCTCAGTGATGTTTTGACATTATCGGACACACAACGCATACCTTTAGAAATTCTTCTACTTATTCTCGATATTAAAACCCAATCTTGGGCTGGAGGGTTGGCTGAGCAATTAAGGGCACTTGTTGCTCTTGTGGAGGACCCAGGTTCAATTCCCAACACCCACGTGATGGCTCACAACCATCTATAACTCCATTCCCAGGGGATCCTGATGCCCTCTTCAGACCTCTGAGGACACCAGGCATGCATGTGGTGTACTTACATATATACAAGCAAAACACTCATACACATAAAATAACAAAATAAATAAACAACTAATTAAAAGCCCCAATCTTTAGTTTCCCTACCAAAGAAAATTTGTCTTGCCATTTAGATTAACTAAAAAATTATTTTACTTGGAAAGGAAAGGGAAAAATTATAGAGAAATCGGGAAAACAGCTAATTCCCAGTATGTTTTGTATAGTCCTTTTGTTTTCCTTCTGGTTTGTAAAATTGTGTGCATGTTGTATGTGTGTCTGTGTCTGTCTGTGTGTGGACTTCTGCACACATGATGCCCTATAGCCAGGAAGAACCCAGAGACTTCCCTGGCCCCTGCTGTCTGACTTAGATACTGGTTGGTCTGAGGTTCTAGGTCAGCTTGCCCCCACAAAGTGTGGCTTTTTTGTCCTTCTGACTGTGTTAACTACCAGCCTCACCAGGCAGTACACACTTAGGAGGAAACTTAGCTTGTGTCTAAGTAAAACCAGCTTGCCTATTACTTGGACTTCAAGAAGGTGAGGAATCTGTTCCCATGAAAAAAGCAGTTGGGAAAGCACCACACACAAGATTTCTCTGTACAGATCAGGACTGGGATGAGGGAGCCAAAACCCAAAACGAACCTGGTGCTTTGACGTTTCCTTCCATTGTGCTTCATAGATCTGTGCTCTTCAGTTCTAGATATGTGTTAGAGCTGTGTGGTGATGCTTTGGAAAAACAATGATCTTTTTAATAGATTTTGATTAAATTCATGTATGTAAGTACCCAGGCACATGCAGTCATGGTTGGATCCATTTTTCTAAAGGTCATGCATAAATAACATGGAAAATTATTCAGCCTCACAGCCATCACACACACACACACACACACACACACACACACACACACACACACACACACTCAAAATACAAAAGAAAGCCCTGGTTGTAAGTGCATATGTAAATAATGGAAGATGTTGACTGACAGAAGTCAGACACTAAGAGAATACAGTGCAAAGCGAGCCTATTTAGAAATCTGGAAAATGCAGACATCACAACAGTGGCTGCCTGAGGAAGAGAGAGAGAGCGAGAGAGAGAGCGGCAGACTGCACACAGGCAGGAATCTCTTAAGCATGGGGGTACATGTTCTGCATCTTGATTAAAGTGGGAGTTACATGTATATACACATTTCTCAAAATGCATTGAGTTGTACATTAGGTTTTTTGGACATGTATTCTATATACATCAGAAGCAAGAATGTTGGAGGAGATTTTCATCAAGGTACTCTCCTTCGACCACATTGCTTGCACAAAGGAGGATGTGGAGAAAGAGCAACTCCTCCATCACGATGGCAGGAGAGACGGGTGCTTTTGAACGCTTGCCAGCGCATTAATGATGCATAGTACTATTCAATCATCAGACCGCCAAGTCATTCCAAACAGAATCATGTGGGGGGGGAATGACTGGTTGATTCCAGCATGTCTAGAGCCAGCAAAGCTTTCCTGCTTGCCTTTTCCATCTTTGCGCTCTTTGGCGCCATCTGCTGCTCAAGGCTTGAAATACACTGAATAAAATAGTGGGGTTTCATAATCACCAGTACAGGGAACTCTGTAGCAGATTGATATCAGCATACTGACAGTGTTTTTTGCTAGCAGTGAGAACTTGTGCCTGGCCTCAGGGAGGTCCCAGGAAGGCTCTGCTATGGAGGCAGGTGACATGGCAGTGATCGCTAATGTGACTGGCCAAGTATAAACCAACGTCTCGGTTGAGAGTTTTGAGACCCCTGGTTGTCGGGTGTCCAGGGCACATACTGTCCAGCCTGAGGAAAGGAAGTAAGAGAGGGCCTGGAGAAATAGCTCAGTGGTTAGGTGTGCTTGTTGCTCTTCCAGAGAACACCAGTTCAGTTTCCAGCACCCACAAGCACCAGTAACTCCTATTCCAGGGGTTCTGACACCCTCTTCTGGCCTCCATAATAATAATTAATAATAAATAAGTAAATATTAAAGAATGTAGGGAAAACCCTTGAAGATAGTGGAAGGGTATATTTGGAGAAAGCAAGCTATAGACAGAGAGCTCAGTAAACAGTTAAGTCTCTTCTTCTTCTTCTTCTTCTTCTTCTTCTTCTTCTTCTTCTTCTTCTTCGAGACAGGGTTTCTCTGTGTAGCTTTAGAGCCTTTTCTGGAACTCACTCTGTAGCCCAGGCTGGCCTCGAACTCACAGAGATCTGCCTGCCTCTGCCTTCCGAGTGCTGGGTTTAAAGGCGTGCGTCACCACTGCCTGCCTAAGTCCCTCTTCTTGGGAAGGAATTGGGCCCCACATCTTCCTTGGAACACTGTGTAGATGGGACTGGGAAATCATGTTGATGGCCCCATCCGTGTGATTGACTGCTCTGGGGTGTTGTTGTGTGTGTGTGTGTGTGTGTGTCGGGGGGAGTGGTGGGCAGAACAGCCCTTTGTATCCCGTTTGTTTGTCTACGGGGAACCTGCTTTGTTTACCTCACGTGCTCACCAAGTTGCTCCAGAAACTGCCCGTGCTCTTGCCACAGAGCTTCCTTCTCCTGCTGTAGCCTGGCCAGCTTCTCCGCCAGCTCCTGGTTGCTCTTGACAAACTGAAAAACATGGGGGTGGGTGGAAAGGGAATGGTCTGTGCCTGCGCAGTGAAGTCTTCCCATAAACTCCAGAGGGCAGGATTTGAGGAGTCCAGGGACAGCTTAACACAGACAGGGGTTTGCAGGAAGACGAACAAGTGCCCTTCCACGTGCTGGGCGCGGGCTCACTCCTACCGCGGGGAGACAGGAGCTCCCGGCTCAGGACCCTTCCAGACCTCACATGTGTCTCCTTGTCTGCTTGCTCATTTCTATCCTTTAAAATGCCGGTTGGGTGGCGCACGCCTTTAATCCCAGCACTCAGGAAACAGAGGCAGATCTCTACGAGTTCGAGGCCAGCCTGGTCTATAAAGCGAGTTCCAGGAAAGGCGCAAAGCTACACAGAGAAACCCTGTCTCGAAAAACCAAAAATAAATAAATAAATAAAAATTAAAATAAAATTCCCTTGCCACAAAACAGGAAACAGCAGTGTGGTGAACCCTGTGTTGTGTGAGTGCCCTAGCGCAAAGTGATTGAATATCAGGGGGAATTGTGGGAACCAGTTCATTTCTAGTTGGTCAGAAATTCTGCTGGCCAGTCTAGGGACGTGGCTCAGGCAGCATAGTGATTGCCTAGCCTGCACTAAGTCTTAAGTTGGATCCCCAGCCTTGCCTAAAACTACATGTGGCGGCATTTACTTATAACCCTAGCAATTGGTCAAGGACATTTTCATCTATATAAGAGTTTGAGACCCTGGTGTTATGTGATACCCTGTCTCAAAAAAAGGGGTTAGGGGGAAGACAAAGAAATAATTTCAGAGGCTCAGCCTTGCCACTGGGTGTGAAGTCTTGAGGGCTGAACCCTAATCCATGAAGTCTGATGAAACTGTCTTCAGGTCAATTGTGTCATAATTGAATTAGAAGCTGTCCAACTTCTGGTCACTCAGAGGTCGAAAAGCCGCACACCTCTGAGGTCGCATGAGACTAGAAACTCAAAGTGAGACTCTGAGCTGGTTAGATTAGAAGGTTCAGGCCAAATACCCCTTAACCAGAATGTTTGTCATGAGGCATTCAGGATTTGAGGGATATTTGCGATTACATGATGAGCTCTCTTGGGAATGAGATCCAAGGCCAAAGACAAAATTCATTTGTGTCTCATATACACTTTATTCACATAGCCTGGAAGTATAATTTTTTGTGTGTGCAGCTATATTTTGATGACTTACGGTTAGCATTTAGACATTACCTTGGGGACCTGGCAGGATGCACTTGTTAACATTCAGGCAAATACCTAGACAGCCGCTGCCTGGATGCATAGTCTCTATACGCATGCGCTAAATCTATTAAAGGTACCCTCCCTTCCCACGAGTCTGTGTCTGCACCTCCTTCCTTCCCCTTTCCTGTCTCTTCTTCTCTTCCTCTCTTATTCCTCCTCTCCTCAGCTCTTATCTGCAGAGGCACACTCTGCGTCCATTGCCCTCCCTCCTCCAAGAAATTCTCCACGTGAGGCGTGGCTTTCTAGGGGCCCTTGCCTCCAACTTGCCAAGGTTACCTTCCGTGGTTTTTCTGACACCTACCACTTGAGGTCAGGTGTGGAGCTGGCCACAGTGTCTTGTCGGCATTCAAAAACATTTCCAGCATTTGTGTGTCTGGTTCCAGACAGGTTCTCGCGGTGTTACTCATCATGGCCTAGAACTCCCAGGCTAAAAGCGATCGTCCTGCTCCAACCTGCCACCATGCCCAGCTCCAAAAATTTCAGATTTGAGAGCATTTTGGATTCCCAAGTTTTGGATTAGGGATTTTTTTTTGTTTGTTTTGTTTTTTGTTTTTCCAGACAGGGTTTCTCTGTGTAACATCCACAGCTGTCCTGAAACTTGCTTTATAGACCAGGCTGGCCTTCAACTTGCAGAGATCCACCTAAATATGTGCGCCACCGCACGCGGCGGGCAGCTTAGGGATTCTGAACCAGTAGCCTGATCTCATTGTCACTAAGCACCCAGAGCTGATTACATTATCTGCTAACAGATGCCTGTAGGGAAGTGCTTTGGGAAATGGCATGATGCATCTCCCTAGAGGCTCATGTCAAAGGCTGCGTGGCCCGCGGATGGGCTTTGGGGAAAGTGCTGGATCCTGACGTTTCTGAAATAAAGATGGATTAATCCCTTGCTGGATTCATCGAGGAAGAGGAAATAATCACCAGTGTAAGCAGCCCCCACCTTGCGGTCTGCAGGGTTTAAAATCCTTGCTTGGGGATCTGTACGGATTGCATCTTGGGCAGGTGCCTCGGAAGAAGGTTCCTGTTGCTAGAGATGCAGGCCTGTTGGTGGAGGGCTTGCCTAGCATGCATGGAGCCCTGGGTTTGGTCCCCAGCATGGCATAGACCAGGCATGGTGTCACACACCTGCCATCCAAACACTCGGGAAGTGGAGGCAAGGAGGGTCAGAAGTTCAAGATGACCTCAGCTACACGGTGAATCCAAGATGTAGGTCATGGCTACACAGAGAAACACAGAGAAACCTTGTCTCAAAAAAAAAAAAAAAAGTGCTATTGTCCTTAAAAGTCATCTGTACATCACCACCATGTCTTTTCTTATTTTCTCTCCAATCATAACAGAGAGTTAGTTAGATCCTAGCACACTTCAGGGGAGAAGAGGTTGAATATAGGCCTTGACTTAGGGTGAACAGCAGGGAGATGGGCAGGATTTGGCATCTTAAAATGCCAGAAACTTGAGGCTCATGTGAAGGAATGGATTTTTGGGAGACTAAACTAGGGAGGAAGGGCTACAGTGTTGAATAGGCCAACATTGCTGATAATGGATATGCTTATCAGAGTCAGAATTTAAATTATTTAATGATTTATTTTAAGTGTATGTGTGTATGGTGTGTGTGTGTGTGTGTGTGTGTGTGTGTGTGTGTGTATGGTATGTGTGCATGTATTTATGCACACAGCGACAGGTCCCCACAGAGGTCAGATGGGGGTGCTGAATCCCCTGGAGCTGGAGTCACATGTGTGTGGGTTGGGAGCTGCCTGATGTGGGTGCCGGGAGCTGAACTCTGGCCCTCTGTAAAAACAACAAGTGCTCTTAACCACTGAGCCATCGCTGCAGTTCCTGGATTTGAAATGTTAATCTGAACCTCTAAGAGTGTCTTTAAATGGTTAGGCTGGCTGACTCAAACTTGGACTCAGCAGCCACCTATATTAAATGGCATTAAGATGTTATACTTGGACACAAGGAAGAGGAAGGAAATAAAAAACTGATACAGACAGGAATTCTGGAGTAGTTCACCGTGGGTGATTGGTTCATCCATCATTGGTGGTCCCAAAGCAGGGAGGGAGTTGTCTTCAACCACACGGCTCCCTGATTTTAGTGGGGTTCACAGTACTACAGAGCCCCCGAGGATAAGTGGCAGTATTTAAATGCTGGGTGGGGGTGGGTGTTACTGCTCATAGGCAATGGGGACAATCACATGAACTGACTTAGAGCAAGCCATCTGGTTATGGCTCTTTGGTCACCGTGATTGATAAACAGTTCATTTGAATCTTTTTTGGTAGCAGGGTATTTTGAAAAAGTATATTTGCTTTATATCCCGGATGACCTCGAACTCACAATCCTCTTGCCTCAGTATTTTGGTTGGTGTCACTACATAGCCCTGACTGGCTTGGAACTTTCTATGTACACCAGGCTGGCCTTGAACTTAAAGACATCCAACTGTCTCTGCCTCCAGAGTACTCACCCCTCCCTAATATTTGTGCTTAACTGAACATTCTATAGACTGTAATTTTCCTTTTTGTTCTGAACTTAACGCCTTTTCCCCCAGTTTTTATAGGTGGTCTCAAACGATAGTCATAGAATGCAATATACCTCTAGCCAGCCCAGGTTCTCTCTCTCTCTTCTTCCACTCCACCTTTCCTTCCTTCCTTCCTTTTTTTGATGGTATTCATGTGGGGACAGGTTTTGTGTGTGTGTGTGTGTGTGTGTGTGTGTGTGTGTACACGCATGCGCATGTGCGCATGCATATGGGGGGGTCTGATGACAACCGGGTGTTATTTCTGAGGCATCATCTACCTTGTTCTTTCATACAGGGCCTGTCATTGGCCTGGGCTCACTGATTAGGTTAGCCTTGCTGGCCTACCTCTGCCTCCTGAATGCTGGGGTTAAAGGCGTGGGACACCATGCGCAGACCTCAAGTTCACTCTCAAATGATGCTATGCCACTTCACAGGCAGTGCAAGCACACTGCAGCAGCAGACAATTGTAATCCCTCTCTCCCATCTTCTCTACCACTGCTGACATCCATTTTCCTTACATATACGCATACTACCTGTGTATAGAATCACTTATAGTATAATTATATTATTGCTATTATTATTATTATCATCATTATTTTTTTTTTGAGACAGGGTTTCTCTGTGTAGCTTTGAGAGTGTCCTGGAACTCACTTGGTAGTCCAGGCTGGCCTTGAACTCACAGAGATCCGCCTGGCTCCGCCTCCCAAGTGCTGGGATTAAAGGTGTGCGCCACCACCGCCCGGCTTTATTGCTATTATTTTTGAAGATTTATTTTATTTCCATTCATGTATATGCATGTCTGTTTTTGTGGATGTAGGCACATGCAGGTGTCCTTGGAGGCCAAAAAGAGTGTCCTATCTTCTAGAGGTGGAGTTACAGGTGGTTGTGAGTCGCTCTGCGTGGGTGCTGGGACTCAACTAGGGCCTCTGGAAGAGCAGTAGTGCTTCTGACCTCCGAGCCATCTTTCCCGTGCCCTCTCATCATTATTTTGGACAAACTATGCCAGGTCAATCGAAATAAAAACTTTCATTTTATCTTCACCTAGTCTTCCTCTGATGCTCTTCCTTCTTTTGGAAATGTATTCCATTTTTATTTGTGTGTGTGTGTGTGTGTGTGTTTATGTCTGCATGTATGTCTCTGTGTGTGCCATGCCCAAAGAAGAGGGCAATGGATCCCCTGGAACTAGCATCTTCTATGGTTGTGAGCCACCATGTGGGTGCTGAGAACTGAACCCGGGTCCTCTGCAAGAGCAATTCATGCTCTTAACCACTGAGCCATCTCGTCATATTTACTAAGTAATTATTTATTTGTTGTGTGTGCATGTGCCTTGGAGTACATGTGGAGTCAGAGGACAACTTTTAGAAGTCTTCAGCTTGGCAGCAAGATCCTCTGCCCGCTGAGCCATCCGGCTGGCTGGCTTCCTTTCTTTGGGTAGATTCTTGTCTTTTTTGTGGGTTTTGTCATTGCTTTGTTTTTCTCGTGTCTATTTATTTATTTATTTATTATTAAAGAGATGGCCTAAAATAAGCAAATGCAGATATGAACTGAGGGGGTGGGCGCGGCCTGAATCGTACAGAAGAGTTGCTGTGTCGTAATGGAAACGGCAGATTAGAAGAAAGAAACCGTGATGTCTCGTTTGTTTAAAGAGTCAGGAGATGCAAAGTTAACTGGAATTTTTTTTTCTTTCAAAAGGGGGTTCTGAGGCTGGAGAGATGGCTCAAGAGCACTGACTGCTCTTCCAGAGGACCTAGGTTCAATTCCCAGAACCCACATGTAACTCCAAGATCAGAAACCCTCACACTGACATACATGCAGGCAAAATATCAATGCACATAAAATAAATAAATAAATGAATAAATTTAAAAAAGACAGAAAGGGTGTTCTGCCGAGTTGTCAGCAGGAGAGTGGCTTCGGGAGAACCAGGTAGACTATGCAGCTTGAGAACTGGCATCAGCTCACAGTCTTCTCGTAGTGAACCGATGTACGAACCATGCTATAAAAGTTGCCTTAAATATAAGGCGAGCGCTTAATTCACAGTCTTCTCATTTCTCCGTTCTCTATTATTTTCCTCTTCTTTTCCCCGTTCTCTATCATTTTCCTCTTCTTTTCATCTGTCTTTCTTCTTGACTTTATTTCGGTAAAACCGAAGCTCTTTAGAGCTTTCACTGATGCCACCGAGGGCCCTGTGAGAAGCAGCCTTCTTCGGAGCAAATCCAAACTCTCCTGGAGACCAGCGTCTGCACGGCTCTGTAACAGTGCTCACGTCAATGGTCCTATGGTGAAGATGGTTCATGGACTGGGATAGATTTGTCAGGAAACTTCTTATCTGCATGGACTGAATTCCCTGACTGTGAGCAGAGCCCCAGAGGAGTCTGCTGTCGTACAAAGGACAGAAATTCATACTCTGCCTGCTGCAGTGTAAGTATACTCTCCCTCACGGCCGTGGTGAGACCAGACGTCCCATGATGCTCCTTGCACCAATCTGACATGCTGTCCAGCAGCTCCTCCAGCTGCTCCATCATCAGGTTGGGACCTTTAGCCAAAATGTTAAGATCAGAGTCAGTTCTCAGACAGGCCATCTCAATAATCTGATCCTTCTCGATGTCCAATCCTGTCTTCTCGGGGTCCACCCAGACCATGCTCTCCCCCACCGTCACGGCTGCACCACATTGGCTGACACCTCACACTCCTAACTGCCTGTGCCTGCCACCCACACCCTACAACAGCCTGGAGCCCAGGGATACGCCTAGCATCACCCGGCATGAGCCGCCATGGCCCCAGCCCCCTAAAGAACATCTCTTAACATTGTGTTCAAAGTCTTTTTGCTGGTGACAAACTCTCCAGTTCTGTCTGTCTGAGGAAGTATTTTTTATTCCTCTGTCTTCTTGCAGGATTTCCACTTTCTCTTTGAACTGTAGTTTAAACGTTATGAACCTACATGTAGTTTTTCTGTCACTCATCTTGATTGGCATTCTCTGAACTTTCCGGATCTGTGGTTCAGCATCTGGCATTAACTTCTGGGTATTCTCAATCATATTATTTCAAGTGTTTCGTCTTCTTTTTCTTTGATTTTCCATTATTTCCATCGTGTGTTACAGTTTCTGTATTTGTCTCACGGTTTCTGGGTAGTCTGTTCTTTTCCCTTAAAGTTCCCTTTGCTCACTGGGTTCGAGGTTTCTGTCATGATTTCCTTGGGATCCAGGATTCTTCCCTCAGCTGTGTGCAGTGCGCTAAGAGCCCTGTCATAGGTGGCCACTGCTTCCACCACTACGGCTTCTATGCCTTGCATTTTTTCCCCTTTCCATCTCTCTGTTTCTACTGCCCATCTCCTCTTGCATGCCATGCATCTGCTTTATTAAAGCTTCAACACACTATTCACAGGTGCTTTACAGTCCTGATAATTTCAATATTCCTGTCATATCTGGGTCTTGATTCTGCCGTGTTTCAGTTTCTTCAAGTTGTGTCTTCATATGTCTTGGGAATGTTTCTTTATAGGCAGACAAGATGAAGGACATTGTTAGAGCAGGTACTTAGTGCGTGCTGGAAAGGCAAGGGAGATGGGCCACATTCTCTGCTCCTACGATTAGGTCATAATCTTTCAGACAACTACACCTTTGAGCATGGCCCTTACACATGCCTCTTTCCTCTCCTTCATTTTTTTCCTTTAAATGGGGGCTGAAATCGCACGTTTCTCTTGCCCTGGGTCAGTTAGGTTCTGACCAAACCCCATCATGTTAGGTTCTAATTAAACAGTTTCTCTTGCTAAGAAACTTTGAATGTCCCCCTCCCCAACGCCTCTCCTGGCAGGAGACCCTGGAGAGATTCCTCAAATATTCACAGTCAGAACCTGGGAGTGAAACCACGAAAGTAAGTGTGGGGGGCCTTGAAACTATCGAGTCCCCTGGAGGTCTGAGCATCAACAGTTCATCAGTTTCAGTGGCAGCGCAGCCTTTCCTGGCAGCTCTCACTGTGGCACTGTGTCAGTCTCTCCAACTTCAGGGGGCAGTGGCCCTGTGGTGGGCTAAAAGAAAATGGCCCTCGAAGGGAATGGCACTATTAGGAGGTGAGGCCTTGTTGGAGTAGGTGTGGAAGTGTGTCACTGTGGAAGTGGGCTTTGAGGTCTCCTATATGCTCAAGCCACACCCAGTGAGGCAGTCTACTTCCTGTTGTCTGCAGATCAAGATATAGCAGCTACCTCTCCAGCGCCATGTCTGCCTGCATGCTGCCATGTCCTGCCATGATAATGGACTGAACCTCTGACCTGTAAGCGAGCCACCCCAATTAAATGCTTTCCTTTATAAGAGCTGCTGTGGTCATGGTATCTCTTCACAGCAACAGAACATGGAGACAGGGCTTGTGACCCTACTTCTCTGGTAGACTAAGAAGTATTGTTAAAACTTTTCAGCTTGCTCAGCTTTTTATTTGTGGTTAGGATGGAGCAGGATCACTTCCAAGTTCATTTGTACAGAACCCTGAGCCAGAAACTTCCCTAAAATTCCACGAGGTTAGGAATCAGAGAGCGTGGGTTGGTGGACACCCGGAGGCGCAGAGTGGACACATGCGCTCTGTGTTCCATCCCACATTCCTGGCCGTCTCTTCCTTCTGGCTGTTTCTGAGTGTGACCTTTTTAAATAAGCTGGCAGCCAAGTAAACAAATGCTTCCTGAGGCATTCTGCTTTTATTTATATGTATGCATGTGTCCATCTCTGCATGCATACCAGCAGAGGCCTGAAAAGGGCGTCACAGCCCCTGAAGCCAGAGTGGAAGCCACAGCAGGTCTTTTTGATCTCCCACTCAGCAGCTTTGCAAGCATTTTCCCTCATGTATTAAATACCTTACTGTTTGTGTTGGGGCTCAGGACACACCACCCCAAAACATGACCATAGGACAGGATGTGTCCCTATGTGCTGGCTAGTTTTATGTCA